ACAGATCATTTATTGCACTATATAGATAATATAGATGCATTCTTATTTTGACATTTCAGGGCACTTGTTTTTAAGAACTGAGATTCTAACTATTTAAAAAATTGCAGTCATTTAAATGCAAACTTTGGTAACTTCTAAGTCACATTTAACAGGCATAAAATGCAGAAATCTTATTACATCTACTTTTCATTTTGAAAGGGTGACAAAGAAAGAAATCTTGTCAGTACACAAGCAAATATATATAACCAAGTTAACAGTAAAAATGGGTCAGCAAGCAAAACATTTTGCCCACTTAGAACTATTCCTGTAATATAAATAAGTTATTCTTTAGTTCATACTTCATAGCTTTGCAAGGTAGAATCCATATGAAAGCAGTTTTTGCTTCTATATTGAAGAAAGGGACTGAGGAGAGCTACTTTGGACAACACTAAGATCAGAGACACACTTACGGGTGGTTAATTGCTAAACACTGTCAAAATGCTAAGTCACATGATGCAAGCAATCCACTCTCCAGCCGAGTCTGAACGGCAGGATCTGCAAAACCTAACACTGAATCTTTGGCAAGCCGCTTTGCCAAAACAGAGGCTGTGTCTCAGGTGGTAGGCTTCCAGATTTAACTGGAGATCTTGTAATTCCATTTTTAAAAAAAAATGCTGGAAGAATTGCGCTCGCCTTAAAATTTTCAACAAATTTGTGTTTTCTAAGAAAAAAATGAATTAAATCTGTCCTCCTCCTACCCAGGTGCTACTCAGAATTGGCTCTATGTGATCCCGTGTAGATATTTAACACGCTTACACAAAATACACCCATCTGCAGTCCTTCAAAATGAAGAAGTGGAATTAACACACCTACTTGAAAATGTTTGGTTTAGGCATATTTGAAATTGAAAAGTAAATATCAAATACCAGAAGTTACAATTTATTTTTTTCTTTTTAAACATACTTGTAGGAGCTGTTCAATGTCTTGTTTTTCCAGGTAAGAACGAGTAACAACCCGACCATCAAAGTCTACTTCTGCCTTGAATCTCACTTTGCTCATTCCCATGTCTGTGGCTTTAACATCATGAATTGCTCTGGAACACAATTTTTAAAGAAAATGTAGAACAACATAAACCAAAACTAGCCAGTTTGATTTCTGATGTTAACAATATTATTAGAGTAGAATGATCATGTAATTTTAAAAGGCCACTGCCTTTGACTAATACATCTTCATTTTGCCACCATGCACTTCCATTAAATACTGATTTATACTTAACCAGTTACAACACACCCACAAGTATCTGCTAAACGGCTCGCTGCATACACATAGCACTACTTAACACACTTTAAGTACCCTCCATTCTGAGGTAAGGAACAATAATCTATTGTCAGTTACTGAAAGCACACATTGCAATTACAGAAATGTCCTTGCCTACACAATCATTTGTAAAGACATGACCTCTTAGAAAATTTTCTGTTCAAAGCAACATTTGATCTAAGAAAAAGTTATGGATCTGGGTTTTGGAACACATTTTTGATCATACTGAATTATTCATCACAACTCATCACAATACAGCTGTTTGTAAAAGCTACAAAATTCTATATTATATATTTATAATTTGGTCCTTTAAAAACTTCTGTTCTTCTAAAGCATAATTCCAGTTTGTTATATAAACTCTGTGATATGTGAATACATGTAATAAATAAAAAGCCTTCTATTTTTCAAGGATAATAAGATAATAATAAAGCAAACTCTTAACCCACATAATGTGGTACACTTCAACAGTGGAATAAATATAAAAGCATAAATTTTTTTTTTTAAAATTAGACTAACAGAAACTCAAGTTTATTCTTAAAGCCAGGTAAAATTTCAAGTTGTCACTGCAGTGTCAGTGTCTACATTTTCCATCAAGGCCAGGAAAAAAAAAAAAGAACAAAAAACCAAACCAAAAAAAAAAAAAAAAAAGAAAAAAAGAGATCTTACTAGAGGACATAAATCAAAAGAAGTTTCAAGTGTTTGAGGTATTTTTTCTTCTGACATTTCCACAGCAAAACAAGTATCTGAGGTCAACCATAAAATATTCCAAAGACTTTGCTTTTAACAACAGAAAAATGCAAGCTTGACAATTTTTTTAATTCTAACAGAAAATTCAGATTCAGCAATAAAGCTCACTTGATGGAAAGCACTACATTTTTCTTCCCCATTCATTTTACTAAGTTGTGCAATTTCACAGCATCTTTGAATTTAACATGCCCTTTGTTTTAAGCAAACTTACACTTCTCAACCAGAAATGTTTCTTCTCATCTGAATGTTTATAGATCAGAACTAACTTCACAGTCAGTACAGTATTTCAGAAGTAGCCTGCTAGAGCAAACAGCTGACAAAACAGGAGGCAGAGACTTAAGATGAACAGTCACAGGAAATGTTTATGGACTGTTTCTTGTAGTACATGGGGTAGAGAAGGGGTAAGCATATTAAAGAAGAAATGGAACATGAACTAAATATAGAGGCACCAAAAAATACATCATCTTAAACATTTAAGCCGATTTTAAAAAACCTATCAGCTTACTGGTAGCAACAAAGAATTTCCAGCTCAAATCAAATTTCCACAGTTCCTCTGTGGAAAGCTACCAAATCAAAACAGTATTAACTAAAGTAACCTAACTGGCATTAAACTAGCTCCTCACACAAGAGGGTGTTTAAGATAACAGATTTGGTTCAGTGAGAGTTACTGAAGAGAATCTGAATCCATGTGGTTCAAAAACATTGAAGATATATCAAGTGCCTATCAGAGCTAAGCAAGAAGATAGCATGATATTTGAGATTCTCATTAAGCAGTAACCTGATGAACTTCAGTGGAATGATGCAGATTCTGCAAATGTGAAGAAAAAAAAAAAAATCTTACTGCTTATAATCTGTCCAGGGAAGATAAGACAGTGAGTCAGGAGGAGAAAAATCACTAATAATTCAAAAATACAAATGTGTATGCTAAAAAACTTAAGCTACAAAGCTTGCTTATGGAAGCTTCTGTATGGCTAGTAGACACTATCAATTCCAACTAGGGAAAAGAGCAAGTTTCACATTAAAGAAACACCTGTCAGAGGATGTCAGGCTATTGGTTTTGAGCCCTCAGTTTTAATTATTATTTTTCTCCCCTCAAAAACAGAATGACAGATTTCCCAGCACAACTGTAGCACAATTATCCAATAGCTGTTACAATTAAGTAAAATTTAAAGATGAAACTGTCACTAAGAATAGTTTATGCCCTGAGATTTGTGATTACATGCCATAAGAACAGAATCGGGACAGTCTCCACCACATCGTATGTTTTATTTCACAGTTCTGAAAGCCCAATCTCCTACACCTCAGTTAAAATAAACTCCAGAAAGATTTAGGCACTAAAGGTGTGAACGGGAGTTAAGAACAGAATGTTTTTATAGCACAAAAAATAAAATCAAATCATTTTCCAGCTCAGAACAACTCTAACTGAAAGTCCATTCTGGATCACAAATGAAAGAACGTCTACAACTAGAAATGACCAAGCAAAATGAAAGTAATGGGAAACAAACAGTCATGAGCTTACAAAAGAAATTATGAAGTCCAGCAAGCTAATAGGAGAAGCATAAAAAAAAAGCATTCTGTGTGATACAAAACAATTCTTATGTAAAACAAACCCAAAGGACAACTTGGAAACAAGCCTGCTGCTACATGGAAATGGTAGCATTGTTAGAGATGATACTAAATAGGCAGAAACATAACAACCATTGTTTTCCTGATATAAAAAAGCAAAGCAATATGTTAGTACAACAAAGCATCTCCCTATCAGTAGCAGAGAACCATACTGGATACTTAAAAGAAAAAAAAATGCTTCCAATTCAGCAGGCTTCATAACTTGCATTCAAGAGAAAAAACAACTAAGAATTAAGTGTGAAGGTAAATAAATTTTTCATCCAGCAATACTGTTGAGAATTTAAAGATAAGAGCAGATTCACAACACTGTGCCAAAATTAGGAAAATTTCCCCAAAACAATCTATGACTCCACGATGCTAAGAAAATTTAAGAGCAGCAAATGGGGCAATCCATTTAGCTAAGACAACTTCACCTGACAACCCCAGGAAAAATGGTGGAAAAGGTGGGGAGAAAAAAAATATCTATTAATAACATTAATCCCAACCATTAAGGTTTTAGGGAATGTAGGTCTTGTCAAACAACCCTGAAAAAAATGTTTAAAAAGATAGCGATTATGCTGAAAAGATGGTAAACAATACAGATTATTTATTTTAGCAGTACAGCAGTTAGTATTGTCTGATAAATCAAATACTTTATAATTAGCAGTGGAACGTCATGTTCAGGCAAGCTTCTGCTGGAATAATAAGTTAAGTGGTGGTAGTGCTGATGAGGACAGGGGGGAGCAGAAATCAGTGCCTCTGATCTTTTGATCAATTTGGATCTAAAATATCTTCTAAGGAATACTAAATGATTCCCTAATATAACCCTCTCCATGTCCAGCAGAACACATCTGAAAATAAAAATTGCCAACCTGCCCTGAAAGAACAAGATTGGGCTACTCTGGGACGCAGCAACTGCAATGAGGATTGCACTGAGAACTCTGATACAGCCCGGTAGCTGGAAATCCTGAAAGTTTGAAATAAAAAGAGCAAATATTAGTCACAGGTTTAGAAGCAGACCAGTAATCAGGAGCTTCTTCTTTTACATCTAGTGTCAGCAGGAAAAATGAGTAAAACATACTAGTACATAACTCCTTTTAAGAAAATGAGAGTGTGAATGTTCAAGAAAATGCTGAAACTCTTACAAGCCCAAAGCTACTACATTGATGAAAGTGTACAAGTAGCCTTTAGAAGAAACACTTGATGTTAAAAGACTTCATCATTTCACAGGAAAAAGCTGAAAACAAATCAAAAACCCTGAATAATGAGAGGTTAGAATGACAAAAATAATTAAGAATAGCTTTTTTCTGCAAATTATGCCTAGTCACAAGAAAGGCCAATAGATGTTTACATCTCAGAGAATTCTGAGATCAAGAACAGATGTCTTATTAGAAGGTGTAAGTTAACCAAAGTCAAGATGTTAGGTTTGTTACAATAAGAAGTTGATCAAAGACTGAATGTGTGCTAAAAGAAATCAAAGCAGACAACACAATGGATCTGAGAAAGAGATCACTCAAGACAAAGTGCATACAGAAGGTCCTGCAAAGTGTTATGAGAAGTACCTAAACGTGTTTAATCTACAGAACAGAATATATTAAAAAATGGTGCTTGGAATAGGAGAAATTTTATGATTCCAGCCTAAGACAAGAAAAAACCACCTGTGCGTTTTTGAAAAAAGAAACACAGATGTTCTGTACAAATAACCACGTGAGCTATCCTGCTCTAATACAGCACTGTTGACACAGGCTCCACCATTCAGACTGATCTAGGGACACCACAAATATTAACAGAATTTAGTTACTGATATGTGAAAATTCTAACATAATTCTATTCCAAAACAGGAATCTTGTTTAGCTTCTGGAATGAAGGGCACAACCTTCAGATCTGTTGCTTGCAACTGAGATGATGCAGCACTTGGTTTATTTAGAGTATTCTGGTATTAACTAATAGGCTTGTGGTTTTTTTTTCCTTCCAGAGCTCAGTAACAACTACAAATAAAAAAAGTACTAAAATATACCAGCTGATTTACAGAGAAATCTATTCCTGAATAAAGATTAAGAAGAAAACAAAAAGGGCTTTCTTTCTAAATCAAGGTTAATAGGGTTAAAGCCAAAATAGCTTCTTAAAAAGCATTTAAACAAGATTTCAGAATTACAATGAGCTGTAAATTTATTTCACTACAAATTGCATGTTTCTAGAGGAAGAGAAATTAGCACTGAATTCGTTCTTTAAGTACCTAACACACAGAATCTGTTACGTTTGCATTACTGCAGCACTTAACTGCCAATTGCTATGGAATCCCAGACATAAAATATTAACAGTAACAGAATTTAAATATTTAAGTGCTATTAAACAATAAAAGCAACATTACAGTATCATTTAAGTGCTTGTATTTCATGCATTTGAATATAGTTTTAGGTTTGAGATGGCTTCCTCATGAAGTCACTGTTAGCTGTAATGAAACTGTTAGAACATATCTGCAATTTTACTTCATCTGTGGAACATCTGAGAGGTAGGGGTGTTCATTTACTGAAATATGTTAGTAATAATTAAGATTCTAAAATCTCAGTACAGAAGAATCTACCCTAAAAATAATCAACCTCAACAGATTTCTCTTATTTGAAGTGCTTGAGATATTTTTTCTAAATGCTATTTTCTTGCTCTCTGTTGTTCTTATAGATTGAGCTGTAAAGATTCCTACCTTACTACAGGATCACTTTCCAGTAACTCAGTGAGTCGCTGCAGTTGTTCAGGTTGAATGGATCGTCCCAGCAGGGCTTCAGTGTTAGTGTAGATGAGAAATGCTGACACGGTTCCTAACAAAGTTCCAACACCTAGAGACCCCACACTGTCATAATAAGGGTTTCCTAAAGAAGACATGTGAAATTAGTTACACAGAGCATTTCAAAACCACAGCAGATAATTCAGATTTCACACTGAAAAGAGTATATAGTTTTGGGGGTTTCTTTCATTTTTGCTTTTTAGTGGGATTTTGTTTGGTTTGGGTTTTGCTATTTTGTTGGGGTTGCATTGGCAATTGGCATTGTGGCATTGGCAACTCTCTCCTATTGAGGAACAAGATGAAGCTGGTAGAAAACAAGTTATCGCAAGACAGAGTCTCAAGTCCCTGCTGTCTCTCAGCCACTCCTGTCTCCTGCAGGACTAATAAATAAGGAAACTCTTGCCAGCTGCTTGGGTTTCTGTGCATAGGTTTATCTATATTAATATAAAATTATATATGCTTAAACACAGGTAGTTGCACAAAAGTCTGTGTTCTTTCATCAGCAACTCAAAAACTCACAAGTATTAACCATTTCTGGAATATAGTATTTATAGAATAAGTTTTAAACAAATATTAATTCATATTCAGATTTTTATAAAGAGCAATTTATTTTTCAGTTTACCAAGGAAACTAGAGATGGAATCAAATATGGAATCAAAACTTCTATATGAAAAATTACCCTTTTTTTTTTTAAAGCAAATGAAAAGCCAAAGCTAAGACTTAAAAAGACCTTCTGTCTTTAGAAAAACTAACTGTGCAGCACGACGTATTTTGAATCAGTTGCAATATAGATCATCCTACCTGCGTGAGTTAGGTTTGCCACACTGTTCAGGAGCAGCTATTATAATCTGAAATAACACTAATACTACTATGTATCAAAAGGAAGGAAAGAAATGCTTCTTTAAATCCTCCCACATGCACGAGTGGCACACCACTGCGTGAGGAAGCTCAAGTTAGGTAACCCCACTGTGGCACCAAGTGATTTACATAACTGACTACAATAAATTAGGGCTCAATGGTTGGACTTGATGATCTTAAAGGTCCCTTCTAACCTAAAGGATTCTGTGATTCTATTAAATATACCTTTAGTAAAAATACCTTTGTATGACAAAATAGCTCAAAAGGAATTTAGACCCATCTGCAAGTACTCTTTTCAAGCTTAACTCCACCAATAACAGACATATGAAAAACTCCAGAACTTTTTTTAATTGTAAATATTTTCAATTCAAACTGTTGGAAATCAGGTCAGAGAACAGTATAAACCTTCAGAAGCTTACCCAGTACAAGTATCAGAAAAAGAATAGAGACTATTTAAGTCAACTAATATAAACTAAATGCTCTTTGTTGATATCATGAACAGGAGGAAATTCACAACCTGGTTGCCTCAGTTTGAGGCAGAATTTTACCTGTTAAAGAAGTCAGACCCATACAAGTAGCGGCTACAGCCACACTTAGAACTGCTGCAGCATCCTCCAGCAACACCACATTTGTACTAGGATCACGACTCTGCACAACTGTGAATGTAACCAAAAAAAAAAAAATTACATTTCTTTGGAAAGCTTAGCTTTACTACATTATGCACAGTACTTACACTATAGTAACAATAGCAACTTAGAAGAAAAGTTTCAGTAGGTATGTAAGTGTAAACTGAATCCTTGCATATGCACACAGTTGTGAAAGCATTCATCAATACGGAGAACAAGTCCTGTGCCAATTATGGAAGCTTCTCCAAAATGTTTGAAGAATTTAAAGAGGCATTTGGCCTGAAAAATGCAAGTAATTTAGTAAAAGTATCCAAGTAGCATCCCTTAAATCAACAGGTTTTCACCTAATTTGTAAAATACACTTATTACTAGAGTAGAAAACAGACCAATAAAGCAAGGGGGGAAAAAGAAAACAGGCAAAACTGTTTCTGTCATTAAGCAAATAGTGGTAAATAGAGACTATTTTAAATAACCCCATACCTTATTGCTATAACAACACGTACCATATTGATAAAATGACAGCCCCTTGGCTCGAGCACTCCTGCGAATTTCATTTATAGCAACGAGAAGGGTAGCTGAAACAACACCAAAGCAGTTGCTGAAAATGGTTAGAGGCAAAAAGACTCGTTTCTATTTTGAAAAGAGGGAACTTTGTATCACAGCATCAGATCATCAAGAAAGCTCCAATTACTGATATTACGAATAAAGACACCACATAAAGTTACCTTCTTTTGTACACGTGTCTCCCATGCAAAGCACAAGTTATACTCAATACTAAAATGGCATTCTACATATGGTTTCCAAATAACATGTTCTTCAATTTATTATACAGACAAGTAAGTTCTCCCACTTTTTTTGCAACACAAGTATTTGCAACAGAGCTCAAAACTTTACTGTGTAAGCAAGAACCAATTATTACTGTAATTACTCACATGACGCTCTTAGAGATTACAAATAATTAAACAGAAATTTCTTGAACGTGCATACCTCCTTCAGAAACCAAGGACCCTGCTAAAATGCAGTATGCCTGTATGAAAAAAAAGTCTCAATTATTATGTTGTATTTGTCTGTACAGATACCTTCACCATAAACTATCCATATGCAGCATTCCAGAACCTCATTACCCACTGTGCTGTGCAGCTGTCCCTAAACAGAAGGCAACCAACAATATCTGAATTATGCAATATACTGCAAAATAGGAAAGGAGGACCTCCTGGGAGGTGTGAAGGGAAGATGCAGGGTTTAAAGAACATTTTGCTATAAGATCAGCTATAGCCTGACATGATTTTTTTCTTTTTTTTCTTAAAACAGATTCTCATTAAGTATAGTTTGAGTTAATTGTGTTGGGATTCAGACTGACTCAGGAAGTGAATTTCAGATTGTGCCATTAACTTTCTATTATGTTAGCAGCATTAGATACACGACCAAACAAGCTTAGCTTACCCAGAGAAGAGATTCTATAGGATGAGGGTGTAGTAAACCTATGACCCCATGATACCAAGAAAGTCCTGCACCCATCATGAAGATGCCCACCCCACTAATCAGGGAGGCAATGTAGCGCATGTTCGTGAAACCATACCTGGGTGAAAACACAGAAAATTATTCAGGAAAATAAAATCCTGCATCTCTGCAAACATATCTACAAGCTTATTCCAGTGATTCTAGCATGTCTTAGATTATCACCACATGACCAGACATCTATTTAAGACAAAGCTGCTAAATCAAATCTAATCCAAAAGGAAAAAAAAAAAAAACTAAAAACAAACAAACAAAAAAAAAAAACCCACAACCCTACCTGGAAAAGGATATCTAGTGCACAAAATGATATGAAGTAGATACTTTTCTAATTCCTTTTTTAAAAAGCTATTTACAAAGCTGTATTATTTCTTGTGTAGATTGAGGATTTTACTACTATAAAAAAAACCTGCATTCATTTTATTGAAATGCTATTTCTACATGCCTTATAGGCAGCCAAACTATTTCATAATGCTGATTTAAAGGGAATAAAATGTGACAACTTAAGTACTTCGTCTAACTGCAGACATTGAACACTTGCAGATCTCAAGAGCAGTGGGAACAGCTAAAGCAACATTAAAAGTGTATCTTTACTCTTTTTTTGGTATTAAACCCTACTACAAACAGTACATTTTTTCAGCAACATTTAAAAAACAATACTACAAATTACTATACTGAGAAAGAAGGGGAAAAAAGTGATATAGGGGAAGATGATACAACAAATACTTAGACAAACTTAAGATTAAAATATTTTGTAAATTACCTGATGCTCTTAATGAGGAAAAGCTTAACTAATTCTGTAACTTAGACATATTTTGAGCCTGTGCTTACAGTGTGAATGACTTGACCAAAAATAAGAAGTGTAGAGCTAGTCAACATCAAGAAAATATCCTAGGAGTGTATAGCTTCTAACTTTCATGAAGTTCTAAGAATTTATCAATAATATCATTACTCAGACAAAAAACAGTAGTTTAAGTCAAACATTTCCTCATGATACAAGTAGCTGCCTTGCAGATAAGCACTTTGCTGAAAATAGGAGGAGGACAGTATGTTGTTTTGTTTCGGGGGTTTTTTTAGATCGTCATTCACGTGAACAGTGTTTAAAAACATCTGCCTACTGGAAGATGTAGAAAAGCCCAAAATAACTGAAAGAAATAATGTCAATTAAAAAAAATACACCTCAAAAAGCATACCACAAAAAAAAAAATCATTAAATATAACATGCATTGGGCCACTGAAGCTATAACTCCTGCAGTCTGGGTCTGGAAGAAATCTCTGTTGTGAGATCAGAAAGTAATGTATTTCAGAAATTATACGAAAGAGAGGATTAAAAAGAGCAAGGTGACAGACAAACAAGAACTCATCTTCCTCAGATATATAATTACCCAAACCATTATTTACTCAAAAAGCTTACGGATGACTAGGGTCTGGTGTCCTTGCAGATTGACTGATGCCCAAAGCTAGTAATGCCTATTTAAGACAAAAAGGAAAAAACAAACCTGTGTCAAGTAAATAAATAATTTAGAAACATTCTGTATCAACTGAACTTGAAAGATAAAGGCAGATGCAATTTGCTGATATACACATATGCTTTTTGTTACTGATATTTTATTAGACCTAGAATATAATCCTCAAAAACTGTCATCTAAATCTACCACCTAAAAAAATTAACTATACTCACATATATATAATACATATTTATTTATATAGTGTGTATGTATATAACTTCATTTAATTATAATATTATAATTGCAACCAATTGTGAATATTTCATGCAATCTCAAGTGCTGTTGCTCTGCTTCAATCTGAAGGAATGAAGTTGCTTAGGGAACAAAGCTACTGATATAAACCCCTCTTGAAGAGAAATTATATAGATGGCAATGGCATACTAACTACATTTAAAGCAATCATTTTACACTGTATTTAGAGCAATAATTTTACAGTGCAGCTTCTTTCAGTAGTGAAGTTTGTATTCTCCAAACCAAAGAAAAATATTATTTTGAAGGAAGAAATAAAAACCTCTTGCTATCTAAATGGCCTACTTGGGATATGTTCGATTAGGTCTGTATTAAACTACTTATGCTGTAAGTTATAAAACTAGACTGACTTTGCAAAGCACGTGCTTTGTTTTAGGACTATGAATTATTGAAACATAATAACAACTATTAAAATTTAGACACTTTAGTGCAAACTGCTTTGAAACAGTAAGGTATCTCCTGTGTTTTCCAAAACCATGCTGTCAAATATTTGATAACTAAGTCACAAAGTCTGTCATTCTAGTAAAATAATTGACAGGAAAATTATTTCAAGTCAACATATGACCAAAATAAGAAAGAGGTAAGAAAGAAATTAGTACATCATCATCTTGGTTTCAAGTCCCACTTATGATCTATGAAGTAGCAGAGTATAGTTCAGCTTACCCAACCGCTACT